CCGGGGGCGGGGCTGAGGGGGGCGACCCGGGGGGGGCGGAATTCCGCCCCGGTAGGAGACGCCGGCATTAGCACGGCGCAGGGCCGAGATGAGCCGCTCGGTAATCCCGCCGGGGCAGGCAGAGCCCGGCTGCCTGTGCCCGGCTCCCTGTCCCCGGCATCCAGCCGTCGCCTCCCGGAGCCCGGGGTTTGCTCTTTTGCCCTTCTAAAATGGACAGCCTTCCCTGGAGAGAGGCGGGGGAGAAGCGGGGCTGGCAGAGCCGCCTGGCAAACAGCGCTCGGGCTGCTCCAGGAGCTGCTGGGTCCTGCGGGGTTTGGGGTTCTTCAAAAGCATCCGTGGGCTTCCCAAGAGGGGAGGTGGGTGGTGGGGTGTCCCACGCCTGTGCCTTGTAGCCAGTGTTAAAGTCCATCCAGGAACACAGCTCGCTAACAGACAAAGGGTTTGAGCCCTGTACCCCATCCCTGGCCCACTGGTGTCCCCATCCGTGGGATGGAGCAGTCACCTGTGTGGTTTGGGCACATGGGTCCCTGTCTGGGGACAAGTTGGGGTTTGGGATGGGCCTCGCAGGCAGGAGAGGAGGGGACAGCATGGGCTATGCTGGAGCACCCCAAGCACTCCTCCCTCCCAACCTTTGCCTCTGCTGTGGCAGCCTGGCTCCCTGGCTCTGCCTTCCGCCCTGCGCCAGCTCCCCAGGGCTGTCAGCCCAACCCACTGCCCGCAGGACCCCCTTCAACCCGGCGTTGCCCTCCAGCCCCCCGGCGAGTGATGGAGGGAGATCCCACCCTGCGGCTCCGCGTCTTCGACCTCAATTGCTGGTGAGTCCAAAGTTTGCTGGGGCCACACCATGCTGCACAGGTGGGGACGGGGACACCTGCACCAGGAGAGGCATCCCACCTTGGCGTCACTTTCACATCCCCTTCTTTTTGGGGTCACACCACTCTCCCAGCCCCAAAGGGTCATAAGGTGCTCGGCTGAGCCGTGCCCCTCGTCCCCTCCCTGCCTGCTCCCTCAAAAAAGGCCCCCTATTCGCACCCCAACCAGCTGCCTCAGTTTTGCAAGCAGGAAAAGCTGTCCCCAGACAGCCTCCTTGCACCTCCCGCTTGTCCCCATGTCCCCGCCTGGCCCTTTCCCCCTTCCATCTCCCCCAGTCTGCATCCTGCCCATACCAATACCGGGTCCTGGCATGCCCTGACAGCCCCCATCACCCCGTTCCCCCCCCAGGCTGTGACCACCACTGCTTTCCGTCAGGGCCATCCGCTACCTGAGCAAACGGTATCAGGAACGCGTCCGGCTCATTGGGGACATGCTGCGCCAGGAGGGCTTCGACCTGGTGCTTCTCCAGGAGGTGAGGGCAGCCCATGAGCTGAATGTGCCCATTCTCAGACTGTGAGCTGTGAGATGGGTGCGCCTGTTCTCAGCCTCTGAGATGAGCGTGCCCATTCTCAGCCCGTCCTGCTGTTCTCCAGGTGTGGAGCGAGCGGGACTACCACGACCTGAAGGCAAAGCTGGGAGGCTGCTACCCATTCTCCCATTACTTCCGCAGGTGAGAGGGGCCAGGCCAGCCCCCTCCATGCCTCCATCCATGGGACGGTGGCAGGGCTGTGCCGCATCCTCGGTATTTGCCACATGGAGAGACCAGTGCGGGTGCTGTAGGTCACCTGTGTCACTGTGGGAGACCCCATGCCTGGAGAGTGGGATGCTCATGGAAGGAAGCTGGGACCCAGGCATCCGGGGAGCCGCCTGGGCTCCGGGTGGGGGGGGACCACACTTCCTCACTGTGCTTTTCTCCTCTCGCAGTGGGGTGATTGGCAGCGGCCTTTGCGTCTTCTCCAGATTCCCCATCCTGGACACCCTCCTCTACCAGTACTCACTGAACGGGTACCCCTACATGGTGAGTGGGGTGGGGGGCACATGGCGCCACAGTGCCCGGTCCCACGGAGCCTCACCGGCCCCAACCTGCTCCCCTTCCCCTCCGGCAGCTCCAGCATGGGGACTGGTTCTGTGGCAAGTCCGTTGGCCTTGTCATCATTAAGATCTCCGGGATTGTCTTCAACATCTACGTCACCCATGTGAGCACCTGAGGGGTGGACCCAGCATGGGGGGGACGATGGGGAAGGAGGGGGATGAGTGGCCGTACCCCTCCTTTGCTGTCCCATTGCTTTAACCACTGCCCTGCACCATCTATCCTGGGACCATGCACCAATTAATGAAATATTGCTTGGGGGGCAGGGCACAGTGACCCACAACCTGACTGTGCAGTGGGTGAGCATCCCAGGCTGTCCCCAGAGGGGTAGGATGCAGACAGAGGGGTCAGCCAGACCCCAAAGGGACCGTCTAGAAGGGCTGGGTGGGTTTGCAGGGAGCCCTGGCTTGGGGCAGGTGCTGGCATGGGGGTCACGACCACTTTGCCCCCCTGCTCTTGCCAGCTGCATGCCGAGTACTGCCGGGAGAAGGACGCCTATCTGTCCCACCGCCTGGTGCAGGCCTGGGAGCTAGCGCAGTTCATCCGGTGAGCAGCTGCAGGGTGGCCCATGGGGTCCCCCTGCTGTGCGTCCCCAGGGGATGTGCGGTCTCCCCTGCCCCTGGGGCTTGCACTGCAGAGAGCTCCCAGTTGTACCAGTCCCAGCCAGGAGTATGGCTGGAGAGCACTGTGGGGGTCCCAGTAATCCCAGTCCAGCACGGGGCAGGGCGGGGAAGGGGGTTAGCCATCCCTGTCCCCACAGACACACCTCAAAGGCAGCCGATGTGGTGCTGCTGGGAGGGGACCTGAACATGCACCCCGAAGACGTGGGCATCCGGCTGCTGCGCAGCTGGACGGGGCTGCAGGATGCCTTCACCGAGGCCATGCACTTTGAGGTGAGCGGCAGGGGGTGAGCGGGGTCCCAGGGCACACCAAGAGCCCCCCACCCACCCAGGCTCTTGCTCTCAGGGCTGTGAAGGTGGCTGCACCCTCATCCCCAACAACTGCTTCACTGTCAAGACAGAGCTGCTGCCCTTCCCGCTGGGCATCCGCATTGACTACATCCTCTACAAGGTAACGGGGGGCCCTCAGCCACGGGCTGCGGGTGGAAGGGAGGGGAGGCACCAGTGTGACCCCCCCCATCCCCATCCCCTTGCCCAGGCTGTCTCCAGCTTCGTGGTGAAGTGCGAAGTGCTGAAGACCACCACGGGGACAGCCCCGGGCATGGACATCCCCTTCTCGGACCACGAAGCAGTGATGGCAACGCTGCACATCCGAAGGCAGGGACAGGCTGTGGGTGCCAACCTTGGCACAGCTGGTAAGGCGGGGGGACACTGCCGGGGTCCTCCATGTGCTGGGGGGGCTGGTGGATGGACTGATGGAGTTGGACGAAGATGGAATGTTTGGGGATGTTTCCCCTTGCTTAGGGCATTCCTTGGGGTGCTGCTTGTGGAAGGGTGCATGGACAGGGAAGAGTGGTGGGGATGGGAAGAAAAAGGGGTGCAGGACAGGTGCCACCCCACTGAGCTGCCTCTGTCCCCTGCAGAGCCAATGCTGGCGGATGTGGTGACGGAGGCACGGACAGAGGTGAGTGTGGGGCTGCGGGCAGCGCAGCAGCAGCGCTACTCCACGGGCAGGATGGCTGTGCTAGCCCTGCTGCTGCTGCTGCTGCAGGCAGTGGCCGCACTGGGCGTGCTGGCGGGGCTGGCAGCCGGGCAGCCCTTCCCCACACTCTCCTTCTCCCTGCTGGCATTCCTCGCCATCGGCGTCCTCCTCCTTGCCACTGGCCTCCACCTTTTCCACACCATCGAGGTGAAGATGCTGCAGGGCACTGAGGAGCAGATGCGGATGGCACTGCGGGCGCTGCAGGAGCATCCCAGCGATGGCTGACCCAGGGCCGTGGGTGTCCCACAATGTCCCCCTGCCCCATCCTGGCCCCTTTCAGTCCCTTTTTTCTAGTTGATTTCCGGTTTTAGGTGAGCAGTGCTGTGGCCACCTTGGTAGCGCAGGTTCGACAGCTGCCTCACTGGGTGAAATTAAGATTTTTGGAGCAGATTTGTCACGTTCGTCTCCATGCGAACCACGATGGAGGCGGGTTTTAATTGGTGTTTTTTTTAATACATCCTTTCTATCCAGAGGGACCCACTGGAATGGCCAGGAGGCTTGAGAGGCTCAGCCTCCCCTTGGCTGGGGCAGCCTCAGGGGCTCCTGGTGAAAGCTGGCGACGGCTCTGGCAATCAACTTTGACTCGGATAGAAAATAAAGGTGGTGTTTTAGCCCTTGGCATCGAGTTGGGGAGGCTTTATTCAAAGTGGGGGGGGGTTGCAGCAGGATAGTAGGGTTCGGTACAAATGAAAGGCAGATAGGAGGGTGTTGGGAGGTGCTGAAGGAAGCAGCAGGAGGAGGGCTGAGCGCCAGGGGGGTATCACTAATGGAGGAGCCTGTACCCAGGACCCCCATGCCCGATATGGCGGGGGCTGCCATAAGCACCATTTGGCCGTGGAGGCCACCCTGCAACAACTGGGGTCTCTGGAAAAGTCAGAGACGTCTGCGCAAAGGCCAGTTCAGCATTGCCAAGCAGGAGAAACCCCAAAGGGGCAATGAGGTCACGGCCACTGGCATCCCTTGTCCTCAGTGTCACACAGTGCCAGCCCTGGGCACAATCCTCTTGGGGAGCTGCTGGACAAAAAGCCCCTTCCCCAGCCGTGGGGCCTCGCAGGGAGGTTCCTGACCCTGGTTTCCTGCAGCGGCTGGGGACAGCGTGGAAGTGGCACCCAAAAGCAGTGATGCAGAGCGGTGGGATCAGCCCGGTCTGTCTGTTGCTGACCCCACTCATACAGCCAGGTGTTCCTGGCTGGGATAGATCTCCCAGGCTGGGATGGATGTCCTGGGTTATGATGGATGTCCCCAGCAGGGAAGGACGTCCTCGGATGGCTTCCAGGGGCTACTCCTGATGCTGCCCCTCCACATTTGGCATCTCCACTGTGACTTGCCTGTGGTGGCCACAGTCACATCCTCGTTACCAGGAGTGAAGCCCTTCGGTGCCAGGGGCATGGGGCTGGCTGGGGAGCAATGAGCCACCTCTCCCGCCAGGAGCCTGTCCTGAGGCAGCCAGCAGCGCAGCTCCAGCATGAGGGGCTCTGCCGGACAAAACGCTTTCAATGCCCTGGCCAAGCCTCTGGGCAGCGTCCCCTCAAAGCAGTGACAGCTGTGGGGCCTCCTGTGCCGGGCGAGACCCCACTTCTCTGTGGGGTTTCTTCCTCCTGCAGCAAACCCTGGGCAGAGCCACCACAGCCCCTGTGTTTCGTAGCCCCCTGCAAATCTTGTTTTCAAGCAAGCACAAGGCAAAGGCAATCCAGCCAAGCATGGGGACGCCCTCTCTGCACCCCAAAGATGGAGTGCTCCTTGGTGTCTCCCCACACTGGCATCCACCGGGGGCCCAGCCCCTCCATGGCAGGCTTTGGCAAGCGGGGACCTGGATTCACCACAGCAGCTGCCTGCGGGCAGCTCAGACATTACCACCTTCAGAAGCAGCTCAGGGTGATGCTCAGCCAGGGGGGACACACCACTTGTCCCCCCCAGGGAGGAACCAGTGGGTCCTGGGGCCACATGGATCAGGCCCGCAGCTCGCTGAGCCGCTTCTCCTCCTGGATGTGGATGAGGACATTGCGCTTGTTCACTACCTCCAGCAGCTGCACCAGGATCTCCTGCTCGGCCACGCGATCCTCCGGTGTCTTCAGGGATTCTGTAAAAGCAGGGGGCTGGAGCAGGTCTGAGTGGGCCACAGGCCAGGCCCTGCTCCCCCCACCATGCACAGGGACCCCCACTGACGTGTGCCAGCACTCACCCTCCCTGTTCATGTAGCACCGGAGCTTCTGGTCGAGCTGCCACTGCTGCTCCTCCAGCTTCAGCTCCTGCACCCTGCGGGGAGGGAAGGAGGGTGCTGGGTGCTGGGCTTGGGGGGGCTGGGGTGAGCTGAGGCCCCACACCGCTTGGGGAGCATCCCCCTAAGCCTTACGCAATCATGAGGTCTGACTCCTCGGACATCAGGCTGTTCTTCTTCTGGACCAGGTAGAGCAGCTGGTTCATCCACTGCGTCTTCTGGTCGGCTGGGGTGCCTGCAAGGCGGTGGAGGGGGCATGAGCAGGGCACAGACCTGCTAGACATGGGGATCACAGTGCCCTGTCCACCCTGGTCTTACCGTCCTCATCTCGGAGTAACTTCTCCAGTTTGATGCCCTGCTGCTCCAGCTCCCGGAATGTCACCTCGATCTCCTCCAGTCGCCTCTGGATGGCCTGCGAGGGAAGGGCAGCACTCGTCCGTGGACCAGCAACATGGCCACCAGCAGCGGGATGGAGGGGATGGGGGACAGTGCCAGGCTGGGGACCTGGCTCTCCCCTGTGGGTCTACCTGGGCTTTGCAGAACCGCTTCATCTGGGCTTCCCTGGCCCGGCGGGTCAGTGTGCGCTTCCAGGTGGGGTATTTCTCTTCTTCTCCAAGGTCCAGGCACTGCAAAGGGATGGTGGCACAGGCAGGAGGGTCAGTCACTGTGCCGCGCACTTCCTGCCTCAGCAGCCACAGCAGAGTTGGGCCCAGTGCCTCCAGGAGAGGAGACACCAGCAAGAGCCCCAGCCACCACCCAGGCTAGTGGGGCCACCACTGCTCAGAGAAAACACTCACCAACTCTGCCATGATGCCAAAGTCTGCGCCTTCCTCTTTCTCCTCCTCTTCCTCACTGTAACTCTCCTCCAAAGCTGCCCCAAGAAAAGAGCCATTTTGGGCCAGTGCCTCAAGAGCAAGACATGGGGCATGGCAGGGTATCAGAGGGACCCACAGCCCTGCTTGGCTGGAGACTCCAACTTGCAGCCACCTACCTTCCTCCATGGCCATTTGCTCCTCCTCCCAGGCACCTTGTCCCTGCCACAGGGCAGGGAGGGCCTTGGGTGCTGCTTGGAGCCGCAGACGAGCTGGCTTTGGTGGCGGCTCAGGCTCTGCTTCGCTGGTGAAGTTCAGCGTGGACAGATTGAGCTTCTCCAGGGGCGTGAGGACGATCCTCCTCCTGCCCCTGCTCTCCTCACCCTCCTCTGCCATCCCTTGGGGCTCCGGTCCAGGACCCTCCTCCTCCCTTGCATCCCCCCTGGGCTGTGCCGGCAGCTCCTGCTCCTCCATGTCACCAGCATCTGCAGCATCCTCCGCTGCCCCAGGCTCTCCCCCCGGCCATGGGGCTGCTGGTGGGGGCTGCAGGGGACTGGATACCCCCTCCCTGGGGGACACACACAGGCTCCCAGCATCTGAGGACAGGTGGGTGGCAGCGGCATCCTAGGGCAGAGCCAGTGGCAGAGGGGTGATGCAGCATGGGGCCATGCCCGAGCAACCCCCTCCATCTTCTGCCTTTCCCTCATCATCTATGGGGATTTACAGTGACTTACCCCATCGGGCAGTGCTGGGGGCTTGTCCTGGGGCAGGTCCATGCTGGGTGGATTGGGGTAGTGAAGTGAGCAGTAAAAATGACCTGGAGGGGCCCAAACCCATGTGACAACCTGCAAGGTGGAGAATCCTTTCCTTGAGCATCCCCTCTCCCCAATACCCGCCTCACCGTCCTCCTCGTCAAAGGTGTAGTCACCCAGGCGCAGGGTGGCCCCACACTGCCAGCACTGGAAGCAGCTGCGGTGGAAGAAGTGTCCCTCGGCGCTGGCTCGCTCCAGGATGTAGACACGGTGGCCACAGAAGTAGCAGGCGTCACTGCTCTCCCCGCGGGTTGGTGGCTGCAGGGGGAGAGGACAGGCTGGGGTGGCACTGGGGTGCTGACACCCACCCTGACCCAGGGCTTTGCTGGCAGCACAGAGGGTTTGGGGGGGGGGGGCTTTGCCCCTCTTGCAGAGGTGCGTCTGGGTGTTCAGGATGGGGTTGCTGGCACCGGCGAGGGAGCGGCAGGTCTTGGCTCCAGAAAACCAGTTGGGTCAGAAAACAGGCGGGGAGGAGCCGGGAGCCTGTGGGCGTTTGCTTGCGCAGCCCCAATCCCAGCCCTTAGCTTGGCCCCACCAGCTGCCGGTGCCCCCCAAGCACCCACTCGCCAGGAGCTCAACCCCCCCCCACCTGGGGAGTGACATGAGGACTGACCTGCCCTGGGTCCATCGTGGCAGTTTGCGGCGGCTCATGGGCACCATCCAGAGTGTCTCCATCCAGCCCCGCATCCAGCTACGAGCAACCCAAGGGAAGGATCAGTCCCCTGCTCTCTCTCTGGGATGGCTGCACCCCGGCAGAGCATCCCTTGAGGCACCTGGGGCAGACCTACCTCGGTGTCCCTGCGGCTCCTCTTGGCCTCAGCATCCTTCTGGGCACTGTCCTGCAAATGCAAAGGGAGTGGCTAGGATAGGGGGGGGAGCATCGTTCTGGGGTGTCACGAGGGTCTGGGTGGGGGGCCCTCACCTGGGCACGCTTGTGTGTCACATTACGGCTCTTCTGCAGCTTGCTGAGGAAGAGGATAGCCCCTCGCGTGCCCCGGGGAGAGAGTGGATTCTTGCTGACCTCCTCCACCTCTGCACAGAGGGGACATGGCCACACTGGTGGGACTCACCCTACAAGGGGGGGCACCCAACCAGCCCCGGTGGGGCTCGGGGGTGGGATGACCCTCCCCCCCCCCATAATCTCACACCTGGAGAGGTCCTGAAAGCTTCATAAAACTGGCTGAGGTAGGTGATGAGCCCCAGGCGGCTGGGGTCTGCCATGGTGGCCATCTCAGCACTGGAGAGGACGGGCTGGATGCCCAGCTCCTGCTCTGCCATGTCCAGAATCATCTGGTGGGTCCGGATGGGATCCTGAGGGTCCACAGAGTCAAAGTCCCTGTGGGGAGACATGGGTACCATCAGGGTGGGCTCTGCAGGGTGGGGGTCCCAGAGGGGGTCCCAGGCACTCACACCAGGTCGGGGCGGAAGTGGTGGACGAGGGCACAGAGGGCCAAGCCGCTGCTCCAGGAGGTGGTGAAGTTGGTCACCTCCACACCGCGGTACCCGGCTGTGCTGGCCTGGCACCAGCTCAGCAGCTCTTCGTAGGTGTCTCCGGAGATCGCTGGGGAGGCAGCACACATGTCCCCATCCCAAAGAGGCAGGGGACCGTCATGCAACCAGCCCCCAAGGCTCAATAAATGGGCTGATAAAGCATCCGTCAATATTTCATGTCTCAGCATCAGTGCGGGCAAGAATCATAGAATCGTCAAGGTTGGAAAAAGACCCTTAAGATCATCGAGTCCAACCGTCAAGAAGGGGTACAGCCTCCCCTTGCAGAAGGCAGCTGGGGGGCTGTGTCTCCAGCTGTGGGCAGAGGGAACGGAAACCAGTGGTGCCACTGGGATGGAAATGCAGCCACTGCTGGGAGGAGCGGGGAGGAAAATCAGGGCAGGAGCTGCTCTGCCACGGGCTGCTGGGAGAAACGGGAGGTCCTGGCGCTGGTGGGGTCAGGGCAGGACTGGCTGTTCCTACCAGTGCTGAGCCGGTTGTCGCTCTTCCTCTTGTGGTCCACCTCCACCATGCCCACGAGGTAGAGGTCCCGGACCTACCGATGGGGACACACCAGTGGCAGGTCACCACCTGCACAGAGCCAGCGCAGGGAGCTGACCCTGGCAAGGGGGACATCCCCACACCTCCCTGGAACCACCCGCATCTGCAATAGCAAATTCATTAAATGTCCCAGGGACCAACAGCTTCAGCCTCGCACCCTTTGGGCACAGGGGACCACGAAAATCAATGTCACCCTGACCGCCGGGGAGGCTGGGCTGGATGGCTGCCCCGTGGCAGGACCTGGGCCAGGTACCTGGCTGGCTTTGATGGCCTGCAGGTTGATGTTGGGGTAGCGCGTGGTTGGGTCAATGCTGTACTGGCTGATGTTCTTGTTGGTGTTGTCCGGGGAGGTCTGTGAGAGGTGCTGGTAGATGCTCTCCCTGGGTGCAAGGGACAGGGCTGGGCTCAGTGCCACCATCCTTGCCCGGTCCAGGACTAGCCCAGTGGGATGGGGACACTCACCTCTCGGCCAGCACCTCCAGTGGGGGGGTCCTGGCTGCCCACCGCCGCACCATCCATGCTGCGTCAAAGGCAGCGAGGAAGCCCCTGGCCACACCGGTGCCCAGTGGCCAGAAGGGCTGCAAAGGGAAATGCAGAGAGATGGGGCTGGAGACGTGTGGCCGGTCAGGGCAGCTGGGAGGAGGCAGGGAGCTGCCAGGCTTGGCTGGGGATGAAAGCGGGGAGTGGCGGCGGGACGCGCAGGGAGTGGATGGGCGGCCGTCTCCACCCCGGCCCCACAGCTGAGCTGACGCTGCTACCACTGTAGATGCATCTGGGGAGGAGCTGCGCTCCTCCTCCACCCTGAACACCCCCAGATCTCTGGTGGGGCTGGGGAAGAGGATAACCCCACCTGCTACTGGGACTTGGGGAACCTGCCCCCAGGGATGGTGTGCACCAGGCAGTCAGGACGAGAAGTGCTCAGGGAGGGGGAATATATTGCGACCAACGCATCTCGCAGGGAGAGGGGAAACTGAGGCACACAGTGGTGCTGCAATGGGGACCCTCACCTCCACCAAGCAGTCGCCCACCAGCCCGAGGAGCAGACGGGCCCCGTTGTGCTCCCGCACCAGCGCTGCGTTCTCCGAGCGCGTCATGCAGGTGAAGTCAAACATGTCGACGTCTGGCAGGTCCCGGTGATTGAGGGCAAACTCCAGCTCAGGCAGGCGGTAGTTAGTGGAGAAGTTGGCAGCTTCTTTGGCATAGCTGAGGAGGGCATCCTGGTTCACATTCTCCGGGGACAGGAGGCTCTCAATGTCTGCTTTGTCCTGTGGGGAGGGGGTGAAGCTGGCCGGGATGTGGGAGGTAGTGCAGCCAGCTCTGTGGTGAAGCCATGCCACTGGGCTTGGGGCTGTGAGCCTCCCAAAAGATTTTCCCCCAGCACAGGACACTGGCACAGGCAACAGTTGCTGAAGCCCCCACCATCCCAGGGGTGCACAGTCAAACGAGCACCCATGATTTGCATCCCACCTTCCAGGGCTTTCAGCCACCCATCACTATGGGATCCTGGGGCCAGATCCTGCCCTCCTTACCTGGAGGATAACCCCCTTCTTGAGCAGGCTCTGCTTCTTGGCTGTCATGACGAAATAGTGAGTGTCGTCCTTGTAGTAGACGATGTTTTCCAGGTCAATGCCTGGTGATGGGGAAGGGACTGAGCTGAGCCACAGGGCAGAGCTAGGGCCATGGGGAGCCCCCGCACTGGGCTCAGCTGCCAAATGTCCCCTGCAATGCGGCACCATGTGGGGACATGCATCCCACCACGCAGGGGACACCCCAGGGCTGAGCCTCCAGTTGCACCAGGGGGGACAGGGACCCCCTGGGCACTCTCCACACTGGGGCCAGGACCACCGACCCGTTTTGTTGTAGAGGTTTTGGAAGAACTTCTGGTTGTAGATTCGGGCCACACCACTGATCTCAGCCACCTCCACCTCAGCCCGGCTGTGGCGGTTGATGAAGTTGGTGGTGATGCCGATAGCCAGCTTCCCCCGTGTCTCCTTCCGCTTGAACCCTGCAGGCAGACAGAGGCATGAGCCCCTACCCAGCCACCCCATACCAGGCCCAGAGGTGCAGGGACCTGCTGCTGTCACCTTCAGGGACAAATTTGCCGCCACCAGCTGAGATGAGGACGTCGAACTCATAGTGGCTGAGGGGAGAGGAGCCAGGCTGCAGCACAGCCCGCCAGCCACCTGTGGGGAGAGGGACAGTCACGACCATGCTGGGTCTCAGCTGGGACCTGCTCTGGGAGGGGAGAGGGTTGCATCTCATCTCCCCCCAAAAAGGCATGCCCCAGGCTAGCAGAGGGACAGGGTGGCTCAGAGCAGCCACCTGCAGCCCTGTCCTTGTCCCCAGGGAAGCCACCCACCCCACAGCAATACCTTACCCTGGCCGCTTGCCTGGCCTGCGGGGGGGATGAGGCCCTTGAACTGCACGTTGATTGGAGCTGCCGGATACCTGGGAGGGGAGAGGGGGCACTCAGGGCTGCACCCCCCCAGGCCCTGGGCTCCCCACAGTGAGGGGACCCCAACGGTGCAGAGCTTGGTCCCCCCCCCAAACTCACTGATGTGGTCCAGTGTGCCAGTGCAGAAGCGCCCATAAAACTTCTTGGCGCCCAGCGCCCGCAGGTCGTGGATGGTGAAAGGCCAGAGGTGCAGGACATTGTTGCGGGAGAAGGAGTCCCGCTTCTCCAGCAGCACCACGTGGGCACCCAGGAACGCAAGCTCGATGGCCACCCGCAGCCCGCAGGGGCCGGCCCCCACCACCAGGCACTGCAAAGGGGATGGGTGGTGTGAAGGGGATGGGCACACCCCCCCAAGAGCCAGGGTTTGGGTAAATCCCCAGGGAGTTCAGCACCACCAAGGCAGCATCTGTCCCCTTCCCCGGGTCAGGAACTGGCCCTTCCCCACTATTCCCCTTTTTCCCGGGCTGCAAGCACTGCTTCTCCCTGCAAAGTGGGGGGCCCTGTGGGAGGCCCCTCGCGTACGTGCCTGCCTGAACCTTGGCTTCGTACGGGGCAATGGCAGCAATTAAAGCTCTTGGTGAGATAAGGTGCGCCCGTCTCCTGCCTGCTGTAGCCTGGGAACGGGGAGATTTCACTAGCAACAGGCTCAAAATCAGGACTCGGGTTTGATCTCCTGCCGGCCCCTGCACAGGGCTGGGGGGATGATGTGGCACCAGCACTGGGGACAAAAGCCATCAGCTCTGGGACAGGGGAACAGAAATAGGGTCCCCCAGCCCCAGGAGGACATCCTACCCCGGCATGTTCCTGTCCCCCAGAAAGGGCTTGGCAGGTCACTCTGCCCCTTTGCAGCCCTCCATGGGGTGTCCCCAGTGAGGAGCAGCTGGGAGGAGGAAGGACACCACTGGCGGGGTGGCACAGAGATAGCATCACACCATGGGGAGGGGAGCAGTGCTAATTAACACCCTATCCAATTAAACCCCATCAACGTCCCACCCGGCACATCCTGCATCCTCCTGGGGTGGGGGCCAGGGTGCCCCAAGGGATGCTCTCACCCCAGGGACAAGGATTCAGGGCTAGGAAGGACTCAAACCCCATGCCCCGTGTCCCCAGTACCTTGGTGCTGGCACAGGCTGTGCCCTGGTCATAGTCCTTGTGCCCGGCTTTCTTATCCAGCTTGCTCCACAGGGCCTTGGCACTCCAGTAGTTGAGGGCAGCCTTGAGGCCATGGTAGAGCTGCAGCCCACTGCCCTGCAGCCCCAGCTGCTGGCACAGCTCCCCAAAGCAGCCCAGCACCTCCTGGCACTCCCCGGCATGCAGGAATCTCTCAAAGATGGCATGGGCCGGGTTGCCCGGCTCGTCGGCTGGCACACTCATCCCACTTCACCTGGCAGCCTGGCAAGGGATGGGAGAGATAAGCATCGGGGGGACCTTCCTGGATCCCCATCTTCAAACCCATCTGATACCAGACCTGGTGTCTTGGCGCAAGGCTTCCCAGCCGGGGGTGTTGTTCAGTGATGGTGCCACCAAAATAGGGGCCCTTTCCAGCAGAGGCTGGTGGAGCCTCCCCCGGATGCTGCACTCAGTGAGCCACGGTGTCACCCTGCCACGGTGACGTCAGGGGAGGAGATGGGGAGGGCTGCAGTGGCAGCAAGCAGCTTCCTCCACACGGCGTGTACCTGCAGCAGCTGAGAGCAGAGTGAGGTGTTTTGGAGCAAAGACAGCTGCTTCCTTCCTCTTCACCCTTGGCCTCGCCTGGGGAGGGATAGGGAGGAGGGTCCCAGCTGCAGGCACAAACCACAGCTGCCCCAAAAAATAGCAAGACCCAGCCCTGGGGCAGGACCCATCCCACCAGCCTGGCTTTTGCAACCAGAGTGGGACAACTTTCCCCCCCACCTCCGCCTCTGCCACCCGCAGAGCAGGGTGGAAGCAGATTAGCACAGAGGAAACACCGGTAGGGAAACCAAAAAAAGCTAAACCACTGTACGAATGGCCCCATCGCACCAGGGAACCCATGGGAGGAGGGGTGCAGCGCATTCCCCCGTGGACACCCCAAGCCCCCCCCACCCGTGGCATCTCACAGGGGACCAGCACTCCTTGCATCTGCCTCCCGCTCCTGGCACTGTCCCCCCACACCGTCCCAATGCCACTCTCTGTCTTTGCCTTTTTCAGACGTTGTCGCCAAGCCCTGGGGCTGGGAAAGCCTCTCCCAGCCTGGCAAAGCAGCCAGTGGAGATGCAGCGCTGCCAAGGAGGAACTGGTGGAAAGGCACGGGAAACCGGAGCGCTCCTACCTTTGAACTATTGCTCTTTGCCCTCTCGCCGCGCACGCGGCAGTACCCCAAAGGCAGCAGCCGGCCCCACAGCAGGACACTGGAGGGAGGAGGATGCTGCATCAGAGCTAAGGTGCCCTCAGTGGGGCGGGGGAAAGGAGGCGTTTAAGCCTGGGCTTAAATTTTGGCTGGAAAGCCCAAATTCTAGCTGGGTTTCAAGTTTGGTCTCACTCCAGCAGCTTCTGACACCTGCATGGCACTTTGCAAGGCCAGCTGGAGCCACAGAGGATTCAAAACACTTCTGCAGGTCATTTTCCCTCCTGATCATCACAGCCAGGAAATCCCAGCATTTTAACCTCTTCCTTCCTGGGCAGACACAAGGATAAAGCATCCAGCCAGGCCAGAGCAGGAGCAGGCACCCACCAGTCCCCAAAGTGGCAGCATGGGGACAGAACACACGACCGATGCATTTGTGGCACGGCTATGAGACCCAGGGACAGATTTCTGCCCTTCCCCCAAGCAGTGCCAGCCCTCTGGCCCTGCCAGTGGGACAGAATGAGAAGCCTGGGGAAACTGAGGCAGTGCTGCAAACCTCACTGGAGAGGTCACGCATGCTGTCTCGCCAGCTGCCTGCCCTCCTCCCGTGGGAGGCTACCCGGGCAGCCATGCTGGCTGGCCTGGCTCCAGTGCCCTGCGCTGCCTGAGCATGATGGGTTTTCCCCTGGGAGCTCACTTACAGCACTGGCGCCTGCCAAGGCCACCATGCAGCAGCCCCAGGGTGATGGGGCAGAGGCAGCTGCCTGGGCTGGGAGCATCCACTCCAGCATCACCAGCCCCTGGCTCTGAAAAAAAAACATCTCAAGGCCTCAATTCCCACCCGACACGATGCCGGAGGGAGCACACCACCCAGGAAAGGTTTCCAGCCCCAGCACTTTGGCAGGGAGGTTTGGAGGAGGCAGAACAACAAGCCTTGTGTTACACCAAGTTTCCTACGGAAATGATGCTCGTGCTGGCACAGTGCGTCCCCTTTGGCATGCTTGAATCCCCCTGACAATTGCAAGCAAGGACAGAAACCCCCATGGATACTCAGTTCCTGCAGGTTTGATGAAAACAAACAGCTTTCAGTCCACAAAAGCCAGTGCCAGTGAAGAGGGGCATGGTGCTGGGCCAGGCTGCCTCTGGCTCTGCTCTCCCTGTGAACGCCTTTTGCGTTTCTTCCTTTAAAACTGCTCCTGAGAGCTGAAGGGAGGAGGTGGAGGGGTTGCAGCCAGCCCTGACTCAGCTCATGATGGCTCTGGTTGGGGTGGCTGCAGACATGCAGCCTATGAGGACATCACCCGGGATTGGCACATGTGGAGCATCCCTGGAGCAGGGTCACCCCATCCCACTTTGCAGGTCAGGGTTCCCCCCCTGCCCTTGCACGGAGAGAAGCAGCCACTTGGGAGATGGAGGGGGGAGCCACCCTGCGGGTGCTGGGCTGCTGGCGAGATCACGTATCTCCCAGGCACTTGGAAATGGGGTGGGAAAGGACGCAGCTCCATACGGAGCTAATGAAAGCCGGGAGGATTTCCAGCAGCAGCAGATCCCCTTCCAGCTGAGCCTCTCGCCTTGTCGCTGCACTGGCTCCCAGCATGGACTGCTCCACGTTTGGGATCTAGGCTGGCGACCCCTGGGCCGGGCTGCTGGGCCAGGCTGCTGAGCCTGGGCTGGACCCCAGGAAAGTCCTTCCAGCAACTTCAGGGATGGCCCCAAGGCCAGCAGGCAGGATGGATGATTTCTTGTGGCCGTCCAACGGCTTGGCCAAAGATCCTGCTTTCAACCACTGACTGAGCTGGGCCAGTGTCAGGAAGGGGTGAAGGCAGCGGGTGCTGCTCTTCCCAGTGTTATTGTGCTCAGGAGAAACATCCAGTCCTCTGCCCTAGCAAGCGCCATCCTCCCTGGGCATGGGACCAGGCAGGGAGATCGCCTTGGCTGACCCCATGGAAACCTACCCTAATTTGGCTGGGTTTTAATCCTTGGAGGGAGGGGAAAAACCCATCGGCTCTTCTGGTTTGAGCTAGGGATGTGGGTGCATGGGCATCTCCCGGCCGAGCTCACCTTAACAACCCCCACAGTGTGGAGCTGCGGGGAGAAGGGCTAAGGAGCCAGGACAAACCTGCCACCAACACTAGCAAGGGCAGAGGCTGGCAGCTGCAGGGACAGGGTGTCATGGTGCAGGGGGTTCCCTTTCAAGGGTGCATAACCCTCCCCAGAAAGCACATGCCGAAATACCCGCCCTGAGGTGCAGGTCCCAGCCTCAGCTCCTGCAGCCACCGGCAGCAGAAGTGGACACTTCTCTGGGGCATTTTGGCACTGCCTTTTGCAGGAGATCCACAAGCCACAGCCCAACCACGTGCCGGGGGATCCCCAGGCAGAGACAACACTTCGGGGGGGAGCAAACCTGCCCCCCCTATTCTGGCTTCTCAGCTTTGCCCCCCTGCCCAGCACCAGCCCCACGGAGGGAGCTGAATTTTGGTGCGAGAGGAAGTCTGTGCATGGCCAGGCTTCACATCCTGCATCTGTTTTCTCCTCCTGCTTCTCCTTTGCTCCCAGCCACAGTTGTCCCCGTGGGGTTGGCAAGAGATGTGTCTTGGGGTACAGTGGTGAACCTCAGGTTCGATTACCCAAATGTACCAGGGCCTTCACCCACCTCAGGCACAGGGGCTGGGGAACATGTCCTCTGGCCTCAGCCCTGAGATGGGGTACAGCCCTGAACCCCCAGTTCACGCTCACTCCCAGGGGCCCATGGAGCATCGGCCAGAGGGATTGGGATGGGGGAAAAGCGCTTAGCAAAGTGCTTCCCACCCCATCCCACTCAGCACTGGGAGCACTAGTACTGGGAATGGAGTCGAGGAGGAGGAGCGGGGGCTGCTCTCTTTTCCCCTTGTCCCAGGGGGAGCAGAGCCCAGGGGCTGGAGGGGAAAAGCAGCAAGGACGGGGTGGGGGGACTCCGCTGCCCCCCGGGAGAGGCTCTGGGGAGGGGGCAACCAGAGACAAAGCACTCCCCCGCCACCAAGCATCCCCACTCGGCATCCCGGGGACACGCAGGACACGGACACAGCGGGGCTGAGCGCCCCGCCCAGCACCCCAAAATCACCCCTCGGTTTTGGCACCCCCTCCGATCCCCGGCTTGCGCAGCAGGGCGGGGCCCGGAGCGATGCCCTCCGCGGGCCGAGGGGACTGGCCGGGAGGGGGGTGTGCCC